AAGGAGAGTCGGATGAGTGAGGGACCGACAGGAGCACGCAGCAGCAACCTGGGTGGACGCAGCTACCTGGGGGGAAGACCCAGCCGGGGACGTCGCGGTGTCAAGTGTGAACAGGCCGGACACCGGGTCCCGGGGGAAAGTGGTAAGGGGGGTACCAGTGGCGGCCTCGGTACAGACAGCATACCGCTCGTGACCAGGGAACGTAGTGGTGACGCCAAGGTCATGGAGGCAGCCGACACCAACTAGGTTCCTGGAGAACGAGGGGATATGCAGACCGGTGAGCGAACCTGAAGGAACCGCCGGACAGGGAAGGGAGGTGGAACTGTGGGCAAAGACGGGACCACCGGAGGGGTCAGCAAGAGTAACTGCAGCAGGAACAGGCAGCGGCGTCAGCGTCGTGGAGTCGCGGAAGAAACACCGGGAGGCGCCAGAGTCCAAGGTGAAGGAAAGCGCAGCAGTCGAGCGGGGCGACAGTGAAGCGGTGGAAGCACCGAGGCTAAGCAAAGCAGGAGATCCTACGCCTGACGCAGCAGGGGAGTCTACGCTAGGCACAGCTACACTAGGCAACACGGGGTAATAAGAGGGAAGCACACTAGAGTCATCGGCATACATCACATGCAAGGCTGCTACAATGGCATCCATGTCCAAGTCAAAAATCCGAATGCTACGCCTAAGCAAGCTGTGCCAGTCCGGGAGGTCGGGCGCCGGGCCAAAGCGCTGGCGGAACAGGTCGTCCAGACGACGAAAACAGCGAGGAGTGGAATGACCGATCTTACCGCAAACGAAGCCGCGGCGAGGACCGGTCTGGATCTGGTACTGACAGGGCCCGCCTCCAGAACCACCACCCGGTGCACCACCACGCGCACGACCACCACCAGCTCCAGGCCACCCAGGCGGGAGAGCACTCGCCGGCCTCGTCTGCGGCGGCTGCTGCGGCTGCTGCGGAGGCTGCTGCTGCTGCGGCTGCTGCAACGGTGGAGGCAGCGGGGCAGCTGGACCGGGCAGGGTCCCCACGTCCGCACCGGCACCGGACGACCCGCCTCCACCACTACCCCCACCCGCACCCCCGCCACCTCCGCCGCTCCCAACCTTGGGGCGGCGGCCCTTCCCCGAGCGGGACTGCACTGCAGCAGCAGTCTCAGCCACAGCGACAAGGCCGTCGGAGAAGGTACACTGAGCGGGGGCACAACCCTGAAAGATAGGGACCGGTACTGTACCGCTCGCCTGGGCTATGGAGCGGTGACGAGTCTTTATGGCAGTCAGGGTGTCAACAAAGTCGGTGAGGGTGAGAGCAGCAGGGTGGATGCTAAGGAACTGGTCGCGGGCGGCGGCAAGGCGGTCAGGGAGGCGGGTGGCAAGGAGGTAGAGGGTAGAGGTCATGGGAGGCTGGTGGACTCTAAGCTGAGCATCAGTGCAGGCAGCGCGCCAGGCCTCATCTATCGAGCGCAGGTGGGCAGCGAGGTCAGAGACAGTGGGGAAGGACGCCAGGTCAGGAAAGAGCAGGGGGAGGATCAGGCGACCCACTGAGGCAGCAGGAGGGGTAGAATAGCGCTTGATGACAGCATCGAGGTAGGCCTGGGCGGTAGTAATGGTTCTAAAGCGAGGGCGCTCAAGGGGGGGGAGGGCATTGCTAATGGCGAGCTGAGCAAGGGCATCGCGGGAAAGCCAGACAGAGCGGGCAAGGGCAGCGGCGGCAGTGGACTCGCGCTCAGCGGGCGTGGGATCAGCAGGCAGCACAGCAGGGGGGTCAGGGCAGGGGAGCATACCGTCTAGGTGTGCAGAAAGCGGGTGGCCGTCCTGCCGCTGACCAGTGAGGTGGCGGCGAAGGTCAGCCAACCACGCCTCGAACTCCAGAGGCTGACCCTCAGCATCAAAACGAAGCTCAGCAGCCATGAGGGGCAGTGGAGGACAGTGGAGTGCGGTGTAGTGCTGTGCAGTGCGGTGCAGGGCGGTGCAGTGCGGTCCAGTGCGGTGCAGTGCGATGCAGTGCGGTTCAGTGCGGTGCAGTGCGGTCAGTGCGGTTCAGTGAGGTGCAATGCGGTGCAAGGCGGGGCAGGAAAGTGCAGGAGGGTGCAAAGTGGTGCGGGGAACGGGGGACAGTACCAGGAAGTATGGAGGGCCGGGGCAGGCGCGACGGGGCCGGGCAGGCGCGACGGGGCCGGGCAGGCACGTCGAGGCCGGGCAGGCGCGACGGGGCCGGGCAGGCGCGACGGGGCCGGGCGGCTGCGACGGGGCCGGGCGGCTGCGACGGGGCCGGGCGGCAGCGACAAGGCCGGGCGGCAGCTACGAGGCCGGGCGGCTGCGACGGGGCCGGGCGGCTGCGACGGGGCCGGGCGGCTGCGACGGGGCCGGGCGGCAGCGACAAGGCCGGGCGGCAGCTACGAGGCCGGGCGGCAGCGACAGGGCCGGGCGGCAGCTACGAGGCCGGGCGGCAGCGACAGGGCCGGGCGGCAGCGACGGGGCCGGGCAGGACACAGCAGGGCCGGGCGGGGGCGAGGGGCCGGGCGGGCGCGACGGGGCCGGGCAGGTGCGACAGGGGCCGGGCAGCTGCGACAGGGGCAGGGCGGGCGCCACGGGGCCGAGAGGCCGCGACAGGGCCGAGCTGGGGCGACGGGGCCGAGCAGGGGCGACGGGGCCGAGCAGGGGCGACGGGGCCCAGGAGGGTGGATACGGGGCCCAGGGAGGAGCGCGGCAGGGCCCAGGAGGGGCGCAACAGGCCCAGGAGGGGCGCTACGGGCCCAGGAGGGGCGCAATGGGGGCCCAGGAGGGGCGCGGCGGGGCCCAGGAGGGGCGCAATGGGGGGGGCCCAGGAGGGGCGTTACGGGCCCAGGAGGGGCACTACGGGCCTAGGAGGGGCGCGACGGGGCCTGGGAGGGGCACGACGGGGCCCAGGAGGGGCGCTACAGGGCCCAGGGAGGGCGCGACGGGTCCCAGTAGGGGCGCTACGGAGCCCAGGAGGGGCGCGACGGGGCCTGGGAGGGGCGTTACGAAGCCCAGGAGGGGCGCTACGAAGCCCAGGAGGGGCGCGACGAGGCCCAGGAGGGGCGCTACGGGGCGCTACGGGGCCTGTGAGGAGCGCGACGGGGCCCAGGAGGGGCGCTAAGGGGCGCGACGGGGCCCTGGAGGGGCGCTACGGGGCCCAGGAGGGGCGCGAAGGGGCGCGACGGGGCCCTGGAGGGGCGCTACGGGGCCCAGGAGGGGCGCTAGGGGGCGCGACGGGGCCCTGGAGGGGCGCTACAGAGCCCTGGAGGGGCGCGACGGGGGCCTGGAGGGGCGTTACGAAGCCCTGGAAGGGGGGCGCGACGGGGCCTGGAGGGGCGCTACGAGGCCCTGGAAGGGGCGCGACGGGGCTAGGGGGAGGGGTCGCGACTGGGCTCAGGAGGGGCGAGGCGAGGCTAGGAGACGCGACGGGAGGAGCGGAAGCGGTAGGTGGGGGGGGGGGGGGGGGGGGGGGGGGGGGGGGGGGGGGGGGGGGGGGGGGGTCGAAACCTACTCGTGATACCATATCAAACCTAGAATTGAATAATGTGAGAGAGAGAGTACACAAACATATACCTAAATGTTGTACTCTCTAGAAGGTGACCCTATACAGTCTATACAAACATGATAACTACACATGTTTGACACATACGGGCTTTTCTTAGCCTAACAGAAGTGAGTGCAACTAGTTGTGCCTGAAGAGCTTTCTGAGCTCGAATGTCGGGCTGGTTGGAGATTGGTAAGGGAGCTCTAGTCCCTTCCAGCATCCGTAGGATGTATGGTTTGAAGTTGCTTGAGACATCTATATGTTGTTGATATTGAATAGTTTCCTTTCCAATTTCAAATGAAATCCTGCAAAAATTTCAGGAAATGGTTATGGAGATAAGCACATCTGGAACATGCAAAACAACAGTGGCAGTGATAGGCTTTGAGAAGGCGCATTCAAGCTGACAGGGTGGGAAGGATCGTCTCATTTTCCACCTTTGTTACCGTAGTTACGACCTCGACAATCAAATACGCAAACGGGATTGTCCGAACACACAAACCCGCGAATGCATGCGATCTGCATTACCAAATACATGTCATATGCCTTGTAGACGACTTCCTTTTATGCCCAGGAGTACTCCATAGGCATTTTATCCTTAAGGGCCTCTCCTTGTACGCAAAGTGTACCCGTGTCATGTGAACAGTACTCATTACAGTCAGTTGGCAACATTTTTCGAAAGCCAATCAGTGTTTTCGTGCGACGATTTTCAATGTCAGGCAATCTGACACTGGCTGTTTGTGTCAGAATCGTCAACCAATGCTCGGAGTCGAATCCACATCACTTTCTGGAAAATCCAACAACCACTAGACCAGCCATTTATGTTCCTCCGCGTTTGCCCCACAAATTGTGTGAGTAATGTTTGTACAACTGGGGGCTTGTTTTATATCACTCTGAAATGAATCCGGATGCGCAAACAGGACTGGTCACCGCTCTCGTCGATGTTCGCCTACCCCGTACATTTGCGATTTTCTCAAATGTAAACGCCTTTTCCTTGTTCTTGATAGAGCGCATTGAATGTTGTGTGGAATCTACAACTTTACCATGAACCCTGAGTTGACGCGCGTGCGACATGGTGAGCGACACGCCAGAGTCCCGTTTGCCCGAGCATATTCCATGTACGCGAAATCCCCCGAGTCGCCCCCCGGGCTCTAAGGGAATATGACCTGTAACATGTTCAGTATGTCGGCGCGCCCGAGTCTGGTTACCCGCTCCGCACATGGACCGAACACGGTGCTTTGCCCGGGAGTAGGTTAAGGGGCTGTCATAAGCTTTTGCTTTTCCATCAAAACCTTACCCAACCGGTTCATATTCTTATCTCACCTCTTTCAAAAAGCACCCACCTGAATCTACCGTGCTGGAGTGAACGCTTATGACACGCCTTACGATGTAACGTTTGTTTCGTGTTATTCATTACACGGAAGTCCAAGTACGACGCATTGAACTTCTCTAGTTCCACAACCCCGATAGTTCTGTTATGTTGCGAGACGTATTACGTTCAACATAGTCTTGCCATTTCGGTTCCGGATAGGGTTAGCGTGTTTCTCGCTAGGCGATTTCCCTATACCGGTTTGGCGTGTTCTTAAGATGTCGCAGGAGCTCCTTAGCCTACTAGCCGCCGGACGCAGCGCCTTATGTCCAGATTTCGCAAATGTCAGGTCGGTGCAGAGCGTTATGGCGACTTTCTTCCGCGTTGACGTGCGGTTCAATGTGGTGCAATGTGGTGAGACGGCATCGTTGCCATCCCAACCCAACATTTGCCACCTATAAAACAGCTCCTCGAGACATGACAAGCTTTATTAGGAGCGAGCTAGCAAGCAACAGCCCGACTCCCATCAGAGCTTCCGCCCTCGAATCTCAACTTAGGGTGCTTAGGGTAAATGAGATCTTCCGCTCGCATTTCCGACTCTCATTTCGCGCTGCCAAGGCGACCGCATTACCATTCAGACGCGCGCACAGTAGACACTGGTTTTGAAGGGGGTCTTTCAAGGCGCATGCTTTTCAAGTCCCCTCCCTCCTCTGGTGACGGTTCCGCGAGCCGTTTCGTACATCTCCGAGACAGTTCCGCAGTTCAAGTTACTTCGCACGCATTTTCGCCGAGATCGTTAGGTTCTTCTCTCCCTGTGAGAGAGCGGGCGGAGCCTACGTGCTGAGCGGGCGGAGCCTACGTGCCTGTTCCCTCACTGCATCCGTGTGTAATGAGTCGATTTTTGAGTCGACACAAAAATCCGTGTGTAATTACACGCGGAGCCTACGTGCCAGTTCCCTCACTGCATCAGCCGTTTGGTTACGCTGTCGAGGTGACTTTTGAGTCGACTCAAAAGTCACTGCATCAGCCGTTTGGTTACGCTGTCCCGACCGTTAGCGTCGCTCCAATCGAGGTTACGGACTTAGGTTGGTCGGGGGCTGGACGCATTCTGTACTTAGGCTTAAATGTCCACAGTGGAGCGTAACTACCCTCCCCCCCGTCAACCTTACGCGCTCATTGCATCAGCGAGAGTAACGCGGTTCCTTCACCGTTCCTCCGTCGCTGTTCCTCCGTCGCTCTTCCTCCGTCGCTCTTCCTCCGTCGCTCTTCCTCCGTCGCTCTTCCTCCGTCGCTGTTCCTCCGTCGCCGTCTTCCCGTCTTGTCCCGTGACGGATGGGCTCTCTGACGGAAGGATCTGACGGACGGATCTGACGGAAAATCTGACGGAAGATCCTCGTGACTGAAGTCAAGTGGCGGAAGGATCTGACGGAGGGATCTGACGGGAGGATCCGATGGACGGCCCTGATGGAAGGGCCCCGCGACGATCGCAACGAATCTCGGTATGTCCGTCCATCCTTTTGAGCCGACTGAAAAGTCCATTCCTCCTGTCTCTCCCTCCCAGCTCGATTGGACCCATTTTTGGGTTTTTTTTTTCTTCTTTTCTTTTTCCGTCGCACGTTTTGGTTTTTCTGGACCCAGTTTTGGGTTGTCATAGCGTCCCTTCCCATCGTGAAGCTCTCCTCCCAAAGTCTAACCTTTCTGGTTATCTCGCTACGGTTTCGTCTCGTCGTTTCGTCTTCCTATCTTGGTAGCACACCCTTGCCCCTCGCCCGTACCCCTTGCCCCGCGCCTGCCCCCATTGCCCCGCGCCTGTCCCCCTTGCCCCGCGCATGTCCCCCTTGCCCCGCGCCTGTCCCCCTTGCCCCGCGCCTGCCCCGCACCTGCCTCCCTTGCCCCGTACCAGACGGCACTAGCCTGCCAGTCTTGAAATGTATCACACCCGTGTCCGCGCGCAAATCGTCACATTCCTTCCCCTTTTTAAAATGGTCGCTATGCGCAGCAAAAACGTGAGAGAGGGCTCAACACGGGCTCTGGGGAGAACCATGCTGAGACTCTGGCGACGGGAAAAGCGGCGAAACGGGGGGGCGGGGGCGGGGGCGCGGGGAATTCCACGCTGATATCCCAAGGGGAGGTGGGGGAAGCAGTGGCGGAAAAGGGAGGGGGGGATTTGGGGGGAGCAGTGGTAAAGGAAGGGGGGAGCGGGGGGAAAGGAGAGGCAGAAGCCAAAAGGGGGAACGGGGGGAAGAATGGGCGGAAAAGGAAGGGGGGCCTCGGGGGAAGAAAGGGGGGAAAGGGATGGGGGAAACCAAGGGGAAGCTGAGGTTGGAAAGGTAGGGGGGAACGGGGAGACACCAGAGGCGGAAGATAACGGGGGGAACGGGGGGGGAGCACTGGTGGAAAAGGAAGGGGGGAGTGGGGGGGGAGCAGAGGGGGGAAAAGGAGGGGGGAGATGGGGGGAAGCAGCTGCGCAAATGGAAGGGGGGAATGTGGGGGAAGGAGAGGGGGAAGAAGAAGTGGGGAATGGTGGGGAAGGAGGGGCGGAAAAGGAAGGGGGAAATGTGGGGGAAGCAGAGGCGGAAGAGGAGGGGGGAACCCGGGGCGAAGCACGGGGGAGCCGGGGGAAACCAGGGGGGAGGGGGGGGAGGCAAGGGAGAAGGCCAGGGGAGGGACGCGGAGAGAAATAGATGAGGAGGAGTATGAGAGAGAGTTAGATAGGAGGTTTGTTGTGCCTGATGATGCGGCAACAGTGGGAGGTGGGAAGCGGAGGAGAAGGGCCGAAGGATTGCGCTCAAAGGATTTGGACGACGAGGAGGAGTATGAGAGGGAGCTAGACAGGAGGTTTATTGTACCGGATGGGGTTATAACGGGGGGAAATGGCAGGGGGCGGAGGAGAGGGGGGCGCAGGGGAGAGGGTGGTAGGCGGAAAAGGGGAAGGGGAACAGCAGGTGTGGGAGGAAGGAGAGCGTCGGGGAAGAGAGGGAGAGAGGAGGCGGAGGAGGAGGAGGCGGAGAAGGAGGCGGAGGAGGAGGAGGAGAAGGAGGAGGAGAAGGAGGAGGAGGAGGAGGAGGAAGGAGGAGGAGGTGAGAAGGAAGCAGGTGCAGGGGGTGATGTTGGCAATGGGGATAGTGATGATGACGTGCTAGAGGTTGTGGGGGGGTGGGATGATGAGCAGTCCTGTGAGGAGGAGCAGAATGACGAGGACAGAGTGGAAATGGAAGAGCAGGAGGGGCATGGGGAGGGGCAGGGGGAGGGGCAGGGGGAGGGCCAGGGGGAGGGGCAGGGGGAGGGGCAGGACGATTGTACATGCGATGTAACAGAGAACATCTGTTACATATGCGACAATGGTGGTAATCTGATCATGTGCGAGGGGCCCTGCCTCCGGTCCTTCCATCCCAAACCTTCTTCCCGAGCCGACGCTGAGGAGGTTCGGGACAACCGGTGCACCACAGTCGGGATCACCGAGCCTGAGGCGCGGGCTGAGAACCCGTGGCTGTGTCCTAATTGCAGGTCCGGGCTGCAGGTGTGCTTTATCTGCTACAGGCTTGGGAGGGTGAGAAGTGTGGGGGAAGGAGGAGGAGGAGGAGGAGGTGCGCGAGCTGAGGGGGAAGGAAGAGTGGGAGGATTGGAAGTAGAGGGGAAAGGAGGAGTGGGAGGAGAAGGATTAGAGGGGGGAGGAGTAGGAGAGAGTGAAGCAGAGAGGGGCGGGGGAGTGGGAGGGGATGGCGCAGAGGGGGGAGGAAGAGTAGGAGGGGTGGAAGCAAGAGGTGGCGAGGGAGTGGGCGTAAGGGGAGTAAGAGGAGTGGGAGGGGTTGGAGCAGGAGTTGGAGGAGTAGGAGGTGCAGGAGCAGAGGAGGGAGGAGAGGGGGATGGTTCAGGGCACAAAGCAGGAAAACAGGAAATTTCTGAGGGCAAGGGAGAAGGGGATGGAGAGGTATTTATGTGCGGAGCAGATTTTTGCGGGCAGTTTTTTCATGCTGATTGCGTGGCTCCATGGATCGTGCGCCTGAAACGCCTGGAGCCACCTGAAATTTCACCTGAAGTTTCACCTGGTGTTTCACCTGGCGTTTCACCTGAGGACAGGGAGATGGTCAGGGCGGAAGAGGTGAAGCGGGTGGCTGATGGCATTCGCGGTCGGGCAGCTGGAGAGGATAATTTTATCTGCCCCAGGCACACGTGTGTGCGTTGTCGAAAGGGAGGGATTCTTTCTGGTACTACCAGTGGGGATGGTGCTGCTGGTAGTGGTGGTGGGGATGGTGCTTCTGCTGCTGCTGCTGCTGCTGCCGCTGCAGTGGGGAGTGCTGCTACTGGTGGTGGTGACGCCACTGCTGCTGCTGCTTGTGATGGTGGCAATGGCTCGGCTGCTGCTGCTGCAGAGGCTGCTGCTGCTTCTGGGAATGGCCGTAGCAAGATTGGTGATGTATCAAGGGCGGATCTGGACTCAGAAAAGAACAAGCTCGTGCCATGCCGTCGCTGCCCGACCGTTTTCCACTTGCAGTGCCTGCCCAGAAACCTGCCCAAAAGCAATCGGCGGGCAGGCGAAGGAAGGCCGCAGCGGGTGTGGGGACTAAGCAGGGAGTTTGGGGGGGATGGGGGCGATGGGTTTCCCCTCATGCTGTACTGCGACCGGCATCGGATCGTCCCGGGGCTGGGAACTCCTGCTAGGAATCATTGTCACTTTCCTGGGTTGGAGAGATGGGGTGAGGGGAGGGAGGTGTGGAGGGAGTGGGGAGTGGAGGAGGAGGAGGAAGAGGAGGAAGAAGTGGAAGAGGAAGAGGATGAGGATGAGGTGGGGGAAGAGGAGGAAGAGGAGGTGTTGGGTAGGTTTGGAGAGGGTTATAGAGAGGAGTGGAGGAGTGAGAGAGCACGATCAACGCGTCTGAACGTGGTAGGGAGGGCGGGAGGCGAGGGCTTGGAAGAAAGCAAGAAGAGAATAAGAGATGGAGGTGGGGCGGTGGGGAAAAGGGAGAAAGAGTCGGATGAGGCTATGGTGGTGGGGTGGTGGGGAAAAGTGATGAGGGGGCCGAAGGGCGGGGGGGGGTCAGTGGGAGGAGGGGCGTCGAGAGGTGGGGAGGGAGGGAAGCGAGCAAAGTCAGGCAAGGGGGGGGGGGTGGGGGAGGTAGGGGAGAGAGGGAAGGGGGGAAAGGTGGGGGAGGAAGGGAAGGTTGCGAGAGGAGGAAAGGTTGGGAGTGTTCGTGGACTTGGAAGGGGTGGCGTCACTTTGGGTGGTGCAGCCAGTGCTGGTGGTGCTGGTGCTGGTGCTGGTGCTGGTGTGGGTGCAGTGGGCGCTAGCGCTGGTGCTAGTGCTGGTGCAGTCAGAGCTGGTGCTGGTGCTGGTACTGGTGAGAGGGGAGGAGTAGACAGGGGAGGGAGTGAGAGGGGAGGAGTAGACAGGGGAGGGAGTGAGAGGGGAGGAGTTGACAGGGGAGGGAGTGAGAGGGGAGGAGTTGAGAGCGGAGGGAGTGGGACTGCACTGGTTGGAGGGTTATCAATGAGTGACTTAGTGCAACGGGCACGACTGGCGACCGCTCTTCACCACACCCCTTCTCACCATACTGCTTCTCACCATACTGCTTCTCACCATACTGCTTCTCACCACACCCCCGCTCGCCACCTCCCCTCTCGCCACATCTCTTTTCACCATACTGCACCGCACTCTACATCCCTTCACCAAATCTCATCCTTCCATACCTCTCGTTACCCCCCATCCGTTCATCATACCTCGTCTATGCACTCCCCTCTTCCTCGTTCTCCTGTTACCCCTCCTCATCCTTATTCCCCCCCTCTTTCTCCTCGTTATTCTCGCCACACTCCCAACTCTCCTTATTCTCCTTATTCTCCTTCTTCTCCTTCTTCTCCTTCCTATGGTCTTACATCTCCCTCTTATTCTCCCACTTCTCCCTCTGATTCTCCTACCTATCCTTGTTATTCCCCTACGTCTCCCTCTTATTCTCCCACGTCTCCTTCTTATTCTCCGTCTTATGCTCCTTATGCTTCTTATAATCCTTATAATCCTTCACTGCATGCTTTGCCTCCTCGAGGCAGAGCAGCAGCGAGGGGCGAAGCAGCAGAAGCATGGGGTGAAGCAGCAAGGGGGGAAGCAGCACCGGGTGAAGCAGCAGGGGGGGAAGCAACAAGGAGTGAAGCAGCAGGGGGGGAAGCAGCAGCAGCAGCAGCTAGGGGTGAAGCATCAGGAGCAGCAGCTAGGGGTAGAGACGCAGCAGCAGGTGGGGAGGAAGCATCCAGGGGGGAAGGATACTGTAGTGGGGGGTATGATGATGGGGGGTACGGTGGAGGGGGCTCCAAGGGTGAGGGCAACAGGGGCAGGGACAGCAGGGGTGGGGGCAACAGGGGCTCGGGCAATCGAGGTTGGGGCAGCAGGGGTAGGGGGTACTGGGGTAGGAGATACAAGGGTGGGGGCAGTGATAGGGGTGATGGTGGTGGGGGGCATGGTAGGGGTGATGGTGGTAGGGGTGATGGTGGTGGTAGGGGTGATGGTGGTGGTAGAGGTGATGACGGTGGGAACAGGGGAGTTGGCATCATCAGCGTCAGCAGCAGCAGTGACAGCGAAGGCAAGGGGAGGGGCGGTAGTGCTGGTGGTGCTAGTGGTGGTATTGGCGGTGGTGCTGCTGCTGCTGTTGGTGCTGGTTCTGGTGTTGGTGTTGCTAGTGATGGGAGAAGGGTAGGGAGAGGGGACGGGGGAGAGGTGGGTGGAGAGGTGGGCGGATGGGGAAGCATCAATGGGAGAGAGGAGGGGAGAAGGGGAGGGAGGGCGGAGGGGGGAGAGGCGGGTATAAGGGCAGGGAGCAGGGATTGGAGAGAGGAGGGGAGAGGAGGGAGGGTGAGTGGGGGAGAGGAGGGTTTAAGGACAGGGATCAGGGTTGGGGGAGGGGGGGTGAGAGGGGGAGTCGGATGGACAGGGGAGGAGGAAGGGAGAGGAGGAAAGAGGAGAGACGAAGGGTTAAGGGGAGGGATTGAGAACGCTGCTGATTCGAAAAAGGGACGAAGGGTTAGATTCGCAGACGAGGAGGGGAGAGATAGGGGGAGATGGAGAGAGGAGGGAGAAGCCGGGGGGGAATGGGGAGAAGGGAGGAGAGATCGAGGTTACTGGGGAGAGGGGGGGAGAGACAGAGGAATATGGGTAGAGGAGGGAAGGGGCAGGGGAATATGGGGAGAGGAGGGGAGGACAGGAGGCGGAGGGAAAGGAGAAAGGGAAGAAGGGGCTTTTCAGCCTCGGCGGCGGCATATTTTCTCATCGCCCGTGGTAGCAGCACCAGCAACCGCCACACCACGAATATTATCAGCACCTATAGCAGCACGAGCAGCACCCAATGTGGCAGCACGAGCAGCACCCAATGTAGCAGCACGAGCAGCACCCAATGTGGCAACACGAGCAGCACCCAATGTAGCAGCACGAGCAGCACCCAATGTGGCAGCACGAGCAGCACCCAATGCAGCAGCTCAAACTGATGAAGGAGGGGAAACCAGGGCAAGGGGGAGAACTTTCTACCATCAACGCCAGCGGCATATTTCCCCACCGCCATCAGCACTGACAGCACTGACAGCACCAGGGGTAGCAGCAGCAGCAACTGATGAAAGAGGGGAAACAAGGGCAGGGGGGCGAACTGCTTTCCAGCCACGCCAGCAGCATGGTTCCCCATCGCCACCAGGGTATTTTTGAGAATTCTAAAAAATACCCTGCAAATTCAAGGACTTTCCAGCCACGCCAGCAGCATGGTTCCCCATCGACACCTGCACTGACAGCACCAGCAGTAGCAGCAGCAGCACCACCACCAGTCGCAGCAGCAGCAGCACCAGGGGTAGCAGCAGCACCAACTGATGAAATAGGGGAAACAAGGGCAGGGGGGCGAACTGCGTACCAGCAACGCCGGCTGCATGCTTTCCCATCAACACCAGCACTGTCAGCACCAGCACTGTCACCAGCAGCAGCATCAGCAGGAGCGCCAGTGGCAGCAGCAGAAGCACCAGCAGTAGCAGGAACAGCAGCAGCACCAGCGGCAATCTCAGCACGACCGAAACAACGCAAACCTCATAAGGCAGTTGCAGCAGCAGCAGCAGCAGCAACAGCAGCAGCAGAACCAACAGCAGCTGCAGCAGAAGCAGCAGCAGCACGAGCAGCAACAGCAGTACCACCAGCAGCACCAGCGGTAGCAGGAGCAGCAGCACCACCACCGGCGATCGCAGCACCAGCAGCAGCCGCACCACGACCGAAGCGACGCAAACCTTATAAGGCACCTGCAGCAGCAGCAGCAACAGCAGCAGCAGCAAAAACAGCAGAACCATCAGCAACAGCAGCGCCACCAGTAGCAACAACAATAACAGCACCAGCAGCAGGAGCAGGGGCAGCAACAGTGGCATTACCGGCACCTGTAGTAGCACCAGTGTTAGCAGCAGGGGCAGCAACAGCAGTATTACCGGCACCTGTAGTAGCACCAGTGTTAGCAGTATCAACAGCAGCAACAGCTGCATTACCAATGGAACGATCAGCACCAGCAACTGCAACACCAGCAGCAAAAGCAGTACCAGCAGCAGCACGAGCAGCAACAGCAGTACCAGCAACGGCAACACAAGCAGTAACAGCAGCAGCAGCACGAGCAGCAACTGCAGTACCAGCAGCAGCACTAGCAGCAACAGCTGTACCAGCAGCGCCACCAGTAACAGTATTACCAACACCAGCCCGACCAGCACCACCAGCAGCAACAGCACCACCAGCACGGCCAAAGGGAAGCAAGCATCTCAAGGCACTTTCAGGAGCAATAGCAGCAACAGCAACAAGAGCACCAACAGGAGCAATGGCAACAGTGCCACCAGTAACAGCAGCAGCAACAGCAACAACAGCACCAGCACCAGCACCAGCACCAGCACCAGCAACAGCAGCAACAGCACCACAATCAACATGGTTTTGCCAGTAGCAGCAGCGAGAGCACAAGACGCACCAGCAGCAGTAATAATTTTTGGGCTCCGCACCCACCACCACCAGGATTATCAGCGGCAGCAGCAGGGGCGGAATGGAGGAGTGGTGAATGGGACGGGTGGTGAACGGGACGAGCAGTGAACGGAACGAGCAGTGAACGGAACGAGCAGTGAACGGAACGAGCAGTGAACGGGTGTGGTGGAAGCTGCAGGAGTGCAATGGAGAATGCATACAGGCCGAGAGGAGGGAGAGGACGGACAAGGGGTGTGTGAGGGACTTAGGGGAGAAGTGAGAGGACGAGTGAGGATTGAAAGGAGTGAGACAAGTGAGAGGAGTGAGGAGTAGTGAGGAGAGGGAGGAGTGGGAGGAGTGGGAGGAGTGAGGAGTGAGAAGAGTGGGAGGAGTGGGAGGAGTGAGGAGGAGTGAGAGGAGTGGGAGGAGGAAGAGGGTTTTGTTAAGGGCTTACCAACTCGCAACGGTGGTGCAAGCAACTACTCTGCCCTAGATAGCTCAATGGGTAGCTTCCCGCTCTGGAATACGAGGATGAAGCTTCTGTGGGGGCCTTACCATCTCCTATTACGCCTGGCACAAGCAGCGGGTAGACTTACAGGGGGGAGAGGAGGAAGAGCAGGTTGGGGATGAGGGGTGGTGGAGGACTTACCATCTCCTACTAAGCCTGGCACTAGAAACATCCTCGTTACTAGCTTCGTCTCGAGCGTCTTCCAAACGCAGGCAGGCATACAAGCAGCAGGTGGACTTACAAGAGGGAGAGGAGAGGAGGAAGAGCAGGATGGGGGGGAGGGGGTGTGAAGGACTTGCTTTTGAGTCAACTCAAGCAGGATGGGGGCGAGGGGTTGCATCGCCACCAGCACTGACAGCACCAGCGGCGGCAGCAGCAGCAGCCGCCACACCACGAACACTGGCAGCACCTGTAGCAGGACCATCAGTACCTGTAGCAGGACCATCAGCACCTGTTGCAGGACCATCAGCACCTGTAGCAGGACCATCAGCACCAGGGGTTGCAGGAGCAGCAGCACCACCACAAGCAATTGCAGCAACAGCAGCAGCCGTACCACGACTGAAGCGACGCAGGCCTTATAAGGCACCTGCAGCAGCAGCAGCAGCAGCAGCACCACCACCACCACCATCGGCCATCGCAGCACCATCAGCATCCATACGACGACTGAAGCTACGCAAACCTTATAAGGCACCTGCAGCAGCAGCAGCAGCAGCAATAGCAACAGCAGCAGCAGCAACAGCAGCAACAGCAGCAGCAGCAACAGCAGCAGCAGCAGCAACAGCACCAGCAGCAGCAACAGCAGCAGCAGCAGCACCAGGAGGAGCAGGGGCAGCAACAGCAGTTTTACCATCACGTGTAGACCAGTGTTAGCAGCGTCAGCAGCAACAGCAGCATCAGCGCGACCAGCAGCAGTACCACCAGCACCATCAGCAACAGTAGCTGTGTCACCATCAGCACTAGCAGCACCAGTAGCATCAGCAACAAGACCAGCAACAGCAGTACCAGCAGCATCAGCCACAGCACGACCAGCAGCAATAGCAGTACCACTAGCGGCAACCGCAAGAGCACCACCGCCAGCAGTACCACCAGCAGCATCAGCAACAGTAGCTGCGTCACCATCAGCATTACCAGCAACAGCAACAGCAACAAGCCCACCAACAGCAGTACCAGCAGCATCAGTAACAGTGGCTGTGTCACTGTCAGCACTACCAGCACGAGCAACAGGACGATCAGGAGCAGCAGCACCAGTGTTTGAAGCGTCAGCAGCAGTATCTGTATCAGCATCAGCACTACCGGCACCAGCAACAGAACGATCAGCAGCACCAGCACCATCTGCACCAGCACGACCAGCACCTGCAGCAGCAATACGATCAGCAGCAGCACGCTCAACAGCATTGCTGCCCACAACAGTACAACCAGTAGGTGCATCAGCTCTTGCTACAGCAGCAGCACGACCAGCAGCAGCACCAGTGTTAACAGCATCAGCAGCAGTGTTAACAGCATCAGCAGCATTACCACGCAAACAATCACGACCAGCAGCTGCATCAGCACGAGGACTGTCAGCAGCAGCAGCACGACCAGCAGCAACAGCAACATCACCAGCACAAGCACCTGCACGACCAGCAGCATCAGCACGGCCAAAGGGAACCAAACGCTTCAAAGCACCTTCAGTAGCAACAGCAGCAATAGCAGCAACACGAGCAACAGGCGCAACAGGAGCAACAGGAGCAACAGCAGCAACAGCAACATGAGCAGCAAGAGCACCAACAGGAGAAACGCTGGGGGACCAAAAGGGGACACACTTTCTTACGGTGTAGGAATGAATGCAGGGGAGAGTATGTGGTGAAAGCTGGGGGGAGGGAATGTTTGTTTTAGGCGCCTCAACAGTGAGGAATGGTGGAAGCTGCACGAATGCAGATCGTCCAGGGAGAGATAGGAGACAATCTGACCCAGTGAGGTGAAAATGGGTTTTGAGAATTCTATAAACGCAAGGGAACCAGTGAGCTCAGCTCTGGTGGAAGCTGAATAAATGCAAGGGAAGTTTGGACCAGGGCCCAAAATTGGTTTTAGAGCACACTTTGGAATCAGGGTTTGCCTGGCAAAACACCCTGATGTAAGGGGTGACTTCTTTTTCGAGTCTGATTCTGCAGCCTAAAACATTTCGCACCCTGTCTGTTCAGGGTATTTTTTTACGCACACTGATTGCAGTACACTTAAAGCGAGGGTCTCAAGAAGCTGAAAACTAAATCCAAAGGTTTTGGTTTCGGGGGGTCTCGAAAATTGCGACGTGTGGTGAGGGATGCTGGTGTCAACTTATACATATTATCTATGTAGAAGTTATAGGCTAGACTGAGGTATGCTTCTAGTGAGTACAACCAACTAGTATTTGTTCTAGGTTTCCACCTCTAGTAATCATTCGTTTCTACGTTAACATGGTATCACGCTTAGGTTAGGATCCCCCCGCCTACCGCTTCCGCCCGTCGCGCCTCCTAGGCCCCGTCGCGCTCGTTAGGCCCCGTCGCGCCCCCCCTGGGCCCCGTCGTGCCCGCTGGGCCCCGTCGCGCCTCCTAGGCCCCGTCGCGCTCCCCCTGGGCCCCGTCGCGCCCACTGGGTCCCGTCGCGACCCCTAGGCCCTAACGCGCCCCCGCTGGGCCCCGTTGCGCCTCCTAGGCCCCGTCGCGCCCCCCATGGGCCCCGTCGAGCCCGCTGAGCCCCGTCGTGCCTCCTAGGCATCGTCGCGCCTCCTAAGCCCCATCGCGTCCCCCCTCTCTGGGCCCCGTCGCGCCCGTTCGGCCCCGTCGCGCCCCTCCTAGGCCCCGTCGCGCCCGCTGGGCCCCTTCGCGCTTCCTAGGCCCCGTCGCGCCTGCTAGGCCCCGTCGCGCCCCCCCTGGGCCCCGTCGCGCCCGTTAGGCCCCGTCGCGGCCCCCCTGGGCCCCGTCGTGCCCGCTGGTCCCCGTCGCGCCTCCGCGGCCCCGTCGCGCCCCCCCTGGGCCCCGTCGTGCCCGCTGGGCCCCGTCGCGCCCCTTAGGCCCCGTCGCGCCCGCTGGCCCCTGTCGCGCCTGCTGTTAGCGCTCGCCCGCCTGGCCTCCTCCTAGTGCCGCTCGGCCTCCTCCTAGTGCCGCCCGGCCTCCTCCTAGTGCCGCCCGGCCTCCTCCTAGTGCCGCCCGGCCCCTTCCTAGCGCCGCCCGGCCTCTCCTCAGCGCTGCCCGGCCCCTCCTCGTGCCCGACCGGCCCCAGCAGCACCAGCCTGGCCCCTCCCAGCACCAGCCCGGCCCTAGAGCACCTGCCCGCCTCCCCTGCTCGGCCTGCCGTGTCCTCTCGGGCCCTGTGTCTTCTGCTTGCCTGCGCTGGGACGCCTAGCTGCTGCCCTACTGGAGAGTGCTGCCGCCGTGTCCCCGCGCCGCTGTGCTCCTGTGCCGCTGAGGAGCTGTGCTGCTGTGCCGCTGTGTCGCTGAGGAGCTGTGCCGCTGACCCTGCACGATGGCTGACTTTGTGCTCCGCCTGGACGCTGAGGGCCACGCGGTTGACTTCGCCGCCTGGCTCTCCGATCTTCGCCGCCAGCTTACAGGTCAGCGCCAGGATGGCCACTCTCTGGTTGTCCATGCTGATGGCTTGCTCCCCCGTCCCCCTGCACCTACTCCCCTCCCTGCTGACCCCTCCTCTGATGACCGTGAGGCTTTCTCTACTGCTGCGCTAGCCTGTGCGGTCTGGGACTCACGCGATGCAGTAGCTCAGGTTGCTATTAGTCACGCCCTCCCTGTGTCTGAGCGCTCGCGTTTTGCTACTGTTGAAACGGCCAAAACTTATTTAGACGCCGTTATTGCTCGCTATTCCACCCCTGCCTCCGCTTCTGCTGGCCGCTTGCTCTTTCCGATGCTGTTCCCAGACCTGGCTGCCTTCCCTACTGTCGCAGATTTTGCCACTCATTTGCGTGCCCTAGAGACTCGCTATCGCACTGCCAGCACTGCTGCCCAGCTCACTGCGCTCCCCCCTCCTTTCTGCATGACGCTCTATTTTATCGCTATGCGCCTGCCAGACCGCCTCGCTAGTGCTCGCGACCACTTTCTTAGCCAGCACCCGGGTGACCTCACCCTGACCGCCTTTGTCGACACCCTCACTGAGATCGAGACTCGCCAGCGCACTATCGCTCAGTCGAGCGGTGCGCCGGCAGTCTCTATCTTTCACGGTTGTGCCCCATCCCCGTGCACGTTCACTGACGTTTCGGCTGCGGTCGCCACGGCGACCCCTCTTACCGAGACGGCTGCTGCTGTCCACCCGCAGCAGCGCTCGCGTCGCGGTGGCCGTGGCCGCCAGGGAGGTAGGGGTGGTGACGCAGGTGGTAGTGGTCGTGGTGGTGGTGACGGTAGTCCGCCTGAGGGGACTACCACCGGTGGGCAGGAGCAGCAGTCCCAGCAGCAGCAGGACCAGCCCCAGCCGCAGCCGCCGTCCCAGCAGCACCCGCCGCAGCCGTGGGCTCGTCTCCCGCCTGGTTGGCCCGGCACCTCCGGAGGCGGTGGCCGTGGTGGCGGCCCGCGCAGCTTGGCGTCTACCAGCGGCTCCAGTGCTGTGACCTGCCAGTACCAGCTTCAGACCGGGCCTCTCCGCGGCACTCTGTGCCGCCGCCCGCACCCGACCGCCCACTGTTTCCGCCGCCTCGACGATCTTTTTCGTCGTCGCTTTGGCCCGGCCCCGGACCTCCCTGACTGGCACAGCCTGCTCCGCCAGGGCGTGCCGATCTTTGAGTTAGACATGGATCAGATAGGTGCTGCTTTGCATGCTTTGTATGCTGACGCTTCTAGTGTTGATGGATCTTACTACCATGTGTACTCTAGTTTAGGTGTTTCACCCTTGTGTAGCTTAGCTTCCCCTGCTGCGACAGGCGTAGGACTGCCTAGGTTGCCTAGTCTAGTCGCTGCACCGGCTCCGTCCGCGGCCTCCGCCACTGCGTCGCTGTCCTTCACTCTCGACTCTGGTGCTTCTGCCTGCTTCTTCCGCGACCGTTCCACGCTCACGCCGCTTGCTGCACCTGCTGTTGTCTCTCTCGCTGACCCCTCTGCGGGTCCGGTCGTCGCGCGCAGTTCTACGTCCCTTCCCTGTCCGGCAGTTCCCTCGGGCTCCCTTACTGGCCTCCACGTTCCCTCGTTCTCCAGGAACCTGGTTGGTGTCGGCTGTCTCCAGGACCTCGGCGTCACCACCACGTTCCCCGGGCACGAGCGGTTCGCTGTCTGTTCTGAGGCTGTCTCAGGTTCCCCCCTTGCGACGTTCCCCCGGGACCCGGTGTCCGGTCTGTTTACCCTACACACCGCTTCCCCCCCGGTTGGTGCGTCCTCCCAGGTCGCTGCAGCTTGCTCGTGTCGGTCCCTCACTCACCCGTCCCTTCTCTGGCACCACCGCTTAGGTCACCCTGCTCTCCCGCGTCTGCGTCACATGTCCCAGCACGGTCTTGTCTTAGGTCTCCCCGCGTCGCTCCCTGCCCTTCCTCCCTCGACTGCGCCACCGTGCACGCCTTGCGTCGAGGGTCGGCTCCGCCGTGCTCCTCACTCCTCCTCGCTGCGTCCTGCTACTGCCCCCCTTCAGACCCTGCACTTGGACGTTTGGGGCCCTGCCCCCGTCCCCGGACCGCGCGGTGAGCGCTACTTCCTTGTGCTCGTTGACGACTACACGCGCTACACCACGGTGTTTCCCCTGGAGCGGAAGGCCGACGTGCCCGACGTTCTTCTCCCGTGGGTTGTAGCTGCGCGTCTCCACCGCGGTCTCCCCGTGTTGTGTCTCCACTCCGACCGTGGCGGCGAGTTCGCCTCTGGTCGGCTTGGACAGTTCTGTCGTGCGGAGGGCATCACCCAGTCGTACACCTTGCCGGACTCGCCACAGCAGAATGGGGTTGCTGAGCGCCGCATCGGCTTGGTCATGGAGGTCGCCCGTACCTCCATGATCCATGCCGATGCCCCCATTTTCTGTGGCCGTTCGCTGTTCGCTACGCGGCTCACCAGCTTAACCTGTGGCCATGCTCCCAGCGGCCGCAGGTTTCGCCGACCCTCCTTTGGACCGGGTCCCCCGGTGACGCGTCTGCGTTCCACGTCTGGGGCTGCCTTGCTCACGTTCGTGCCTCTGGCACGGACAAGCTCACTGCCCGCACTGTCCCCTGTGTCTTCCTCGGTTTCCCCCTGGACTCGTCTGACTGGCTTTTCTACCACCCGCCATCTCACCGCTTCCTCCACTCTCGTGACGTCACCTTTGACGAGTCCGTCTCCTTCTACCGCCGCTTCCCTCACCGAGGTCTCCCAGTTGCCCCCCCCCTTTTCCTTGCTCCCTCTCCCCCGGTAGCCCCTGCCCCTCTCCCGCCTCGTCCTGCCCCGTCTGGTGTCTCCCACGTCACTCCCCTCCCGTCGGTTGTCCCCGTTGAGGAGTCTGCTGACTCTGGTGGTACCCCCGGTCCGTCCTTGCCGCGTCCCCCTTCCCCAGTGCCTCCGCCCCCACTGTCGCAGTCGCCGACCCCGCTGCCGCCGCCGTCGCCGTCGCCGCCGCAGCCGTCGCCGCTGTCGCCGCCACTGCCGCCGCTGCTCTCGGCCCCTGGGGGTGCTGGTGTGGAGGAGGGTGTTCGTCCTGCGGCTTCTGGGGGTGCCGCTGGTGTTGGAGGGGGTTCTCGCTCTTGGGGTGTTGGTTCTGGGGGTGCTGCTGTTGAGTGTTCTGCCGACGGTCGTTCTGCCTCTGCTGGTCCGAGAGTTCCGGCCCAGCCGTCGTCGCCGCCACAGCAGCCGTCGCCGCCGGTTTCCGCTCTCCGCCTGCTCGGCCTTCCCTCCCCGGACCGCGCGCCGGTGTCTCCCCCACCGCCTCCTGACCTCCCTGTCTACGGTCCTGTGTTCCCGCCGCCAGACTCGTCTCCGGCCCGTCTTCCTCCTCGTTCCCCTCCTGTGTCTCCTCCGCTGTCCCCTGACCCTACCCCTCCGTCTCACGTTTGGGCTCGCCGTCCCTCCCGTGCCCGTCCCGTCTCTCCTGTCCTGCCCACCCACCCTATGTTGCTCCGTTCCCACTCGTCTCGTCCTCCCCTCCTCCCGTCCCCTCCTCCCTCGTCCCTTGCTGTTGCACCTCCTCCGTTCTCTGACTACCTCCGTGCTGCTCGTCCCCTTGTCCCTCGGGTCCTTGCCTCTCTTGTTACCGACCCTGCTGTTCCTGTCTCGCGCCTTG